ACGAGGTGTCGGTGAAGTTCAACGACGAGCACATCCCCGAGAGCCCCTTCGTGGTGACGGCGGCGGCTCCCAGCGACGCCGCGCGGCGCCTCACTGTTTCTAGCCTTCAGGTGAGGCACCTGGAGACCCCAAAATCCCCAAAAAACGCCCCAAAAATCTCCACAGAAACCCCCCGAGCCACCAGGGGCCCGGCCAGCGCAGCCCCCCGGGCCTGGGGCGGGACTTGTGGGGTTTAGCAGAATTTAGGGTTTTTAGCAGAATTTCGGGTTTTAGCAGAATTTCAGGTTTTAATCAGAATTTCAGGATTTTAGCAGAATTTCAGGTTTTTAGCAGAATTTAGGATTTTAGCAGAATTTCAGGTTTTAGCAGAATTTCGGGGTTTAGCAGAATTCAGGGTTTTATTCAGAATTTCAGGTTTTAATCAGAATTTAGGATTTTAGCAGAATTCAGGGTTTTAGCAGAATTTCGGGGTTTTTAGCAAAATTTAGGTCTTTAGCAGAATTTCAGATTTTAGCAGAATTTATGGTTTTAATCAGAATTTCAGGTTTTTAGCAGAATTTCGGGTTTTAGCAGAATTTCGGTTTTTAGCAGAATTTGGGATTTCAGCAGAATTTGGGTTTTAATCAGAATTAGGGATTTAATCAGAATTCAGGTTTTCAGCAGAATTTGGGATTTAATCAGAATTCAGGTTTTCAGCAGAATTTGGGATTTAATCAGAATTCAGGTTTTCAGCAGAATTTGGGATTTAATCAGAATTCAGGGTTTCGGCAGGTTTCGGGGTTTTAATCAGAATTTAAGGTTTTAATCAGAATTTGGGATTTCATCAGAATTCAGGGTTTCAGCAGGTTTCGGGGTTTTTAATCAGAATTCAGTTTTTTATCAGAATTCAGTTTTTAATCAGAAGTCAGTTTTTTAGCAGAATTCAGTTTTTAATCAGAATTGAGGTTTTGAGCAGGTTTCAGGGTTTTTAATCAGAATTCAAGTTTTTATCAGAATTCAGTTTTTTATCAGAATTGAGGTTTTGAGCAGGTTTCGGGGTTTTTTATCAGAATTCAGTTTTTAATCAGAATTCAGTTTTTAATCAGAATTGAGGGTTTGAGCAGGTTTCGGGATTTTTAATCAAAATTCAGGATTTAATCAGAATTCAGTTTTTAATCAGAATTCAGGTTTTAATCAGAATTGAGGTTTTAATCAGAATTGAGGTTTTGAGCAGGTTTCGGGGTTTTTAATCAGAATTCAGGTTTTTTAGCAGAATTCAGTTTTTAATCAGAATTCAGGATTTAATCAGAATTCAGGTTTTAATCAGAATTCAGGTTTTAATCAGAATTCAGGTTTTTTAGCAGAATTCAGGTTTTCAGCAGAATTCAGTTTTTCAGCAGAATTTAGCAGAGTTCAGGTTTCGGGGTTTTTAATCAGAATTCAGTTTTTCTCAGAATTCAGTTTTTCTCAGAATTCAGTTTTTCTCAGAATTCAGTTTTTCTCAGAATTCAGTTTTCAGCAGAATTTAGCGGGTTCAGGTTTCGGGGTTTTTAATCAGAATTCAGTTTTTTCTCAGAATTCAGTTTTTCATCAGAATTCAGTTTTTCTCAGAATTCAGTTTTCAGCAGAATTTAGCAGGGTTCAGGTTTCGGGGTTTTAATCAGAATTCAGTTTTTAATCAGAATTCAGTTTTTAATCAGAATTCAGTTTTTCTCAGAATTCAGTTTTTATCAGAATTCAGTTTTTCTCAGAATTCAGTTTTTAATCAGAATTCAGGTTTTTCTCAGAATTCAGTTTTTCTCAGAATTCAGTTTTTCTCAGAATTCAGTTTTTATCAGAATTAATCAGAATTCAGTTTTTATCAGAATTCAGTTTTTTATCAGAATTTACCAGAATTCAGTTTTTCTCAGAATTCAGTTTTTTACCAGAATTCAGTTTTTCTCAGAATTCAGTTTTTACCAGAATTTAGTGTTTCTCAGAATTCAGTTTTTATCAGAATTCAGTTTTTATCAGAATTAATCAGAATTCAGTTTTTTCTCAGAATTCAGTTTTTCCCAGAATTCAGTTTTTCTCAGAATTCAGTTTTTCTCAGAATTCAGTTTTTATCAGAATTCAGTTTTTTATCAGAATTTACCAGAATTCAGTTTTTCTCAGAATTCAGTTTTTACCAGAATTCAGTTTTTCTCAGAATTTAGTTTTTCTCAGAATTCAGTGTTTCTCAGAATTCAGTTTTTCTCAGAATTCAGTTTTTATCAGAATTAATCAGAATTCAGTTTTTCTCAGAATTCAGTTTTTCTCAGAATTCAGTTTTTCTCAGAATTCAGTTTTTAATCAGAATTCAGTGTTTCTCAGAATTCAGTTTTTATCAGAATTTACCAGAATTCAGTTTTTATCAGAATTTACCAGAATTCAGTTTTTATCAGAATTTACCAGAATTCAGTGTTTCTCAGAATTCAGTTTTTCTCAGAATTCAGTTTTTCTCAGAATTCAGTTTTTCTCAGAATTTACCAGAATTCAGTTTTTCTCAGAATTCAGTTTTTTATCAGAATTTCTCAGAATTCAGTGTTTCTCAGACTTTAGCACGTTCAGGTTCGGGGTCCCTGCGCTGGCCCAGCCCCCCGGGGGTCCCGGGGTCTCTCTCGTGTCTCTGATAAAGGCTTTGAACAGGGGGGGGCCGGGGGGGGTGGCGGCTCCCAACGGCCCCAAAAATCCCCAAAAAACCCCAAAAATCCCCAAAATCGGGGCCGGGGCCGCCGCTGGCTCCCGTCACCCCCCCCCCGCCCCCCAAGGTAAGTGGGGGCCGGGGGGGACCCCAAAATCTCCCCCCACCCCTTGGGGGACCCTCAAACCCCGCCCCCAAATTGGGATTTTTTGGGAGATCCCCAAAAAAAAAAAATTTGGGGATTTTGGGGTTTGGGGCTCCCCCCAGGGGTTTTTTTTTTTTTTTTAAACAATTCCTCCCAAAAAATAGTTTTGGGGTTTGGGGATTTTCCAATCCCCCCCCCCAAAAAAAAATTATTGGGGGGTGGTTTTATGGGGGTTCTTCCACCCCAAATTTTTGGGGTGGGAATTTGGGATTTTCCAATTTTCCCAGAATTTTTGGGATGAGGTTTTGGGATTTTCCAACCCCTCCCAAAAATTTTTAGGGGGAGGTTTTATGGGGGTTCTCCCTCCCAAAATTTTTGGCTTTG